GATTCAAAAGACAAGTCATGCCTCTCGCAATATGTTAACTGCTTCTCTCTCCACAGATGCTGCCAGTCCTGAATTTCTCCAGCACTTGGTTTTCATTTGGGAATTACAGAATTCAGATGATTAAGCCATTTAAAAGAAATAGGGCTGAAGCTGAATTCAAATATGGGTCACAAAACAATGCACATAATTTCTATTCCACCAAAAGAAGGATGTAATCAGTGCAACCATTAAAGCTTTAAAGATCAAAACATTCACAATCCACAGATATAATTAGGAAATCAATAATAAAAACACAATGAGAAATGGCACAAAACAACTGATTTGGTGTTTAGAATTTTGAAATAATAGGGATTATTAAGGTATTTTAACTTGTTGAGATCACATTCGAATTATATTACAAAGCAATTTTGCACACCCATGGATAGTTAAGCTTAAAATTGTATTTATACAGGTAACAAAGCCAGCATTTTACAGCATTTACACAATATACAAAACTTTTACAATAGAGTAATTTGTACAAGTCCCTGGTTTTGATTACTGTGGATAATTCCTCATGCAATTTGTAGCCTAATTTTTTGTATACAAGACAACCATTAACAATACTTTATTTACCATATTAAGGCATTATATCCCTAAGTGGCTTATAAAGATGAAATAGAAATTTTCAGCAACTGTGAAATGACAAGCAGCACTACAGGAGCTACCATTTTACAAAACAAAAAAAAAACAAATAAAAAACACCAGACACGTTTCCTAAATTTGCAGGGAATGTTGATACATGCAAATAGTGAAAGGTGCAACATAAAATTCATTTAAAATTGGGACATCTCACTGGACTATATTTTGAAACATTTATAACTTTACTTAAAACAATTCAAGGTTCTTAAGCAACATCAACTAATTTTATTTTGAAATTAAAAATTAGTGAGGATTAAATTGTTAGCCTTTTGCTAGGTACAAGACATGGCCAACTTTCCATTGTGGGATAAGAGTAACTTTAGTTTTTCTCCATTGGAAACTCAAGGGAAAATTCTTTAAAAAAAAAAGCAAGCAGCTGAGAAATACCGGTAACCAATATAAAATATCTCATTTAAAAGCTTATAGTTGAGACCACATTTTACACAAATATACATTGACTTTCAGGGAAAAATACAGACCATCTGATTCAACCTTTCATACAAGGTAAACAGTTTTACAGATCAGTCTCAGTCACAGGTGCCAAACACCACCCAAATGTCATCACAACACAAAAGTGTTTGTGTATCACCTTGAAAGTTAGATTTTTTTTTGAAATGTTTCATGTGCACCAAACTATTCAAGAAATTTAGTGAAACTTCACAAACTCACGAGAGATTGGACTTGAACGTTAGTCATTAATGTTTAACTAAAAAGTTGCCGGCAAATGGGAAATTCTTGAAGAAGTTTGTACAGCTTCAATTGCATATGTTCAATGAACATTTGAACCATCTTTCTACATCATGTACAGAAGATTAACTCCCCATCCTGACAAAGAGCCTCTTCGCACCCTACCAATTGACTCTCAAATCACATGAATTCAAGTTGCCAGATAGAGCATATTAGCCAAAATAATAGCGTAAAGTTTTAATTAATTTAATGTCATTAAATTTGACACTTCCAGTGACTTTTACCATTTAATTCGAGAGATTGTTCAAGAATATACTGTGCAATTTAGGTACATGAATTTGTATTGCAAGCGGTTTACATGTAGTGGAAGCATGCACAAAAAAAAATGAAGCTGAGACAACTTGTGGTAACCGAATTCCATATTATTAAAAATCATAACTACATTGTCCTTCAGTATAACTACTACAAGTCAAAAAAAAAACCCAATCCAGTGCCTTGTGTGTGAACAGCTTGTTTTTTTTTGTATTATGGCTTTAAGGCAACAACAGATAATTGATGCAAACATTACATGTTGAACACTGTTCAAGACTACAGACACTCTTAGAGAGGCGCAACTGAGGGAAATGTACTGTCAGATGAAAAAAAATCTCAATTCAACCAGGCTTCAACTGTACACAAATATCAGATTCTAACAATTATTCTCTCAAACTACAGAGAACTTGAAACTTTGAAACCTGTTTACACTTATAGAAATTGTCTCCAGAAACAGGTATTCAATTCGAGACGGAACTGAAGAGGCAGGAGGAGGATAACTGTCCAATTGAGGAACAGTGAGCAAAAATATTCAAAAGCCAAATCCAGCTGAATGAAAATGTATGATAAAGATGTTTGGTTCCTTATTTTTCATCATATAAAACACTGATCCCTATCTATTTCCCTCTGTCCACAGAGTTTAGGACAGATCTCCCTATGGCTACAATAAGTATGATTTAGTTCCAGTAACTGGAAATATCAGACGTAAATTTAACATGTAAAGCTTGCAGCACAACTACACTATTAACCTCATCTAAACAAGGGTAGTAGGCTTAAGCAATACAATTCACAACTCAAGTTCCTAAAATGCCTCACTTTAGAATCTGTAAATCCAAAATGTTCTTAATACTAAGCAATATTCAATTCTGTTGGAACAGGAGCGACTGAAGATGTGTGTTGATATTCAGCCATGTTTTTATGACTAATTTACTACTATTAGTCTCATGAACTTTGTAGCTGCAATACCTCAAAAGAAAGGTTAAATGAATCTTCAATGCAGCAATATTAGGGTTGCTTTCAGATTTCATTATGTAAAGTGTATCAGCACACCACAGACATGCACATTGTACAAATTTATAATACAAACAATTTGCAAAAATCACTCAAATTCACAAGATTTAAAGAGGATAAAAATAGAACTTTATGTACGAACAGTATAAAAATGAACAGCTTTCCCTGGCATGGGTCTTTTTAAAAGATCTCATGAAAGAAACCATCAAAACAAGTATTAAAACATCCATGGCATGACCTGTAATCAGGTACCCATCAAATTCAAAACTGTAGAATAAAAAATTTCTATAAATATGTCCATCTACCAAAACTATATGGAAGGCCAAACACCTTAAAATTAGAATACTTGTACAAATACTGGTGGCCGGAGTCAGAAAATTCTCCTAAATCTCTCTCTAAATAACATCATGGACTATCAGAGCTTTAAAAAGTGCAAGTCGAAGAGGCAAAGATTTGCATTTAATTTTTGAACTAGCTGTGCATAAACTTGGACAAAAAAAAAAACAAAAATGAAAATAGCCCACAATTGTAATTAGCCTATTTACCTGCGGGGAAAAAATAAAATATGTCAACCAACTTGTTACTTTGCAGTTTTTCTGTATGTGATACATGAAGACTACATCACAAAAACATCACCTGAGGATTTCTTTATTTCAAACACTCATCATTACTATATTCCCTTGCTTTGTCATTATGGGATAACTCCAAAAGCTAAAAAATGCCACAAATAAAGTTATGGCATAATTTATACTCAAGTCAAGACTTTAATGAATTGTTGTTTATTGAAAGAAAGACAAAAAGCCTGACAAAAAGATGCAGAATGAGGTATTAACAAATAGCACATGTTCCATTTTGAAAATTAATCCAAGGTAATTATGCAGGATTAGGATAATTTGGAAACTCTATTTACACTAATTTAGTGTAAAAGAATGAGAAGCTTTAAATTGAACATTTATCCATACGGCTGCAGCAAACTTGAAACGTCAAACTGTAAAACAACATGGGGGGTGCTGAAGACTTCTTTGAGGTAAAATATATTTCTGACAGCCAATACTCGAGTACAGGATTCATCAAGTTGTATGTTTTTTTTTTTCCAGAAAATGTGCCAGAAACCTCTAAATGCTTCAAATAAGTTTTTCCTGCCTGAAGCACCATCCAATGCCACAAGGACTGCCAGGTAATTTATTATGAAGCATTTTATAAATGCTGTCATAATATTTGACTTTTGTTCAGGATATCCTGGTCTCTTGCTTATCTTGTGGGGTATTTCAACTTTGCTGCTTCATATCCTCGATGGCCCAGGATTAATCACTGTGGCCAATAGCTTATACACACACCCAGTCCGTAAATCTAGCAATTAAAAAATGCTGAAGTTTTGAGTGTTAGATTGCTGTAAACATCTGCTTCTCAATTGAAAGAATATGTAGCAGAGCCCCATTCCCCAAGCATACAAACCATCACATGGTTACACAAAAGAAACTTAAAATTAATGCCTATTCCACCCTCAAAACACAAATGGCAAAATTACTTGTACACTCATCCAAAAAAATTACTTCTCTATCTTTAGGTATTAAAACTTAGTTCTGGAAAGCTGTTCAGTTTATATCAGAATCACTTTCACTTGCCCAGGAATCTCACTTGCTTAAAAAAAGATTTGACATAAATACAAATGGCTAAATAAAAACTTAGAAGTCCAAATAGAAAGCTATTATGCAATATAAACCTTGATGGATGGGGACAAGAGGGAACTTTGTAAAAAGCCAGCGTTTCTGCATCTGTGACATTGGCATTGAACTTATTAAGTACAAAAAAAAGTGTTCCACAGCATTTGTGCTGAAGACATGGCAGACAGAAAAGGACAACGGGGAGTAACGAACGTAAAATACAATTTGAAGTGGAACTTTATACTACCCAAAGACCTACCAATGTAGTTTGATAACTACTTCTACAAATAACTTTCAACATATGGTTCGAGACAAAACGCTAAACTGCAACAGAAATCAAGAATAAATAGATGCCCAAAAACTTAAATTCTTACATGTAAAGCAATGCTTCAATCTGGAAATTAAAGTGTTAAAATGAAGTAATTAAATTATAATTCATCGCAAATTAGACACCAACACATCTCTGGCATTAATTTAGGAATACTTACCAAACTTAAGACTTATCTGACTGTATTTAACAGGTTCTGTATAGCTTAAGGTCCCAATCGAATGCTACTTCACCAAACTGAAGAATCTTAAATCTGTTTGTAAAATAGGCAAAAATATAAAACATAATTTTACAGTTATAAAATGAACAGAGAAACCCACCTATTTAACGGTGACGATACTCTCGTTCTCTGTCTCTCTCTCTGTCTCTGTCTCGTTCACGATCACGATGCCTTTCCCGCTCTCTACTTCTTTCACGGTAATAATCATCATGTCGGTCACGGCTTCGTGAGCGCTCTTTATGGCGTCTGCTTTTCTCTCTTGATCTACTGTGGTCCCTCTCCCGTGAACGTTCACGTTTTCTAAGATGAGTTTAAAAAAAAAAATCACAGTTAGTTAAGAAGTTGCACTGAATTCATTGTTTTGCCTGGTTAGACCGGTTAATTGGCTAATTTATACCAATAGTAGTGTCACATCCAGAGAGCTATTTCTAGGCTTTTGCTGCCAGCTGCTCGTGATCAACCAAAATCTTTTGTTCTGTAACCTGAAGAAACAGGTCAGTACGCTGAGGCACTGTCTTCCTCACTGTTTCTCATTTGAGCTCCACACATAATATAACGCACATGATGGAACTTCCAAAAACATCCCAGGAATTTCTATTAATAAAGAATCAAAGTCCGTCTAGAAATCATTAATATTTCTCCCGAGAAAAAAATTACTTTCTGGAGATTCATGAAGCACCCAGGCATGAGGGATTAACTGAGAAATTAACAGAATTTTTTTTGCTCACCCTGTGCTCAGCTAAAAAATTTACTATATTCCATCTGCACAAACCTCATCTCAGTATTATGCTCCAGTTTTCCTCAGCTGAAGGAACCTTTCAAAAAAGCCTCACATCATTTTAAATCACAACCGTTAAAGGAATCCTGAAGCTACCCAAATTAAAATACCCAAACCTTTAGGAATGACATCTGCAAAATGAATGGTTAAACCATTGCCTTCTACTTTATTTGATGAAGGACAACATCCTTAATGACAACTTTTGCACAAGTTTCTAAGTACTTATGGTAAGACTAGAGCTACCTTTTATTCCCTGGTCTGAATCTAGGAATAAAATAACACACTCATCATCAACTGGGGCGAGGATAAGCAGTTGGCATACTGAGTAGCAAAATGGAAAAGAAGAACACCCAGTTCAATTTAGCTCCTACAAAAGGGCATTGATCCGTGCACAAATCACTGGAATATAAACATGACCAGATTTTTTATACAATGTATTAAAACTAAAATATAGACCCTAGTTAAATCAGCACAGGTCCACAGAAGCAGACTTTAAAACTGAAGAACATAACCATTTATATAATATTATCAGAAGATCTGAAACTGATTACACAGCATTCCATCAAAGTTAATTTTCTCCTGGCTGATTTGCATCTAAATTAGGATCTGGAATTCAACATTTGTAGACAAAAATCTAAAACCAAAAATTAAATTATGCTCTTGTATAAGCTTAGGTTTCCTACAATTCAGACAAGCACTTTTGTATTTCCATTTGCATTTACAGCTATTTGGCCTTAATAAATCCATAGTGTTGTCCATGCTGCACAAAATTCTCCTTCCAGTCTTCTTCATCTAAGCCTTCCTCTTCCCCAAACTCATTTATGCTATTCACCTCATCTATTTCTTATAGTCATGAGTTTTAATAATGTGACAATTCTCCATGAAAGCAGTTTCTTTTACAATTATTAGAGTTGCAAGTTGTGGCAACTCTTCTATTTCTTACCCACGAAATCCTTTTGTAATCCTCAATGCCTCTCCAATCAGCCTTAAGTCATTTTATCAATTTTAAAGAAAAAGAGCCCTGACATCACTGCAGTACATTGTTTTTAAACCTTCCCCAGTATCTCCAGATAATTTCTATAACGGAGGCTAAAAATGTTTGCGGTACTCTGTAAGGCAACCAAGATTCCATACAAGTTTAACCTAACATTTCTACTTTTTTTAATTATATCCTTTATAAAACATGCTTTTTATAAAAAGTAAATAGCCTATTGATCAGTGGTAGTAATTTGTTATCTGTTCTAACTTATACTGTTCGTTACTTTCTAAAGGAAAAAGCTTCATATGGCAACTACTCGGCCCAGGACAATAAGAAACTACAGAGACTTGTGAACACAACCCAGTCATGCAAGCCAACCTTCCATCCATACTTCTCATTGCTTCGGGAAAGCAGCCAATATAATCAAAGACCCCTCCTACCCTAGTTATAAGCTCTTCCAAACCATTCTGTCTGGCAGAGCACAGAAAAGCTCAAACACATGGACCAACAGATTCAAGAACAGCTTCTTCCCTCCTGTTACTAGACTTCTAAATGGACCTTTTGAACTTAATGCTGTCCTCACTCTTTGTGCACCTTCTCTGCAACCATAACATTACATTCCTCGCTGCTATATCACCCTTACGCATAACGGTATGATCTGATTGTACTGCACACAAAACAAAACCCTTCACTCTATCTGTGACAATAATAAAACCGAAGTTGCTCATTAGACATAAAATGTGTCACTTATGCTGAAGCTCATTTCCCTTATGCAATCATTATGCAACGTAATAATGCTTTCATGTACTCTGCCATCCAAGTCTGCATTATTATTTGGAATAATATTTTCAGACAATGCAATGACATAGATACTGCCTTCGGCTATTTTTGTTGTCCATTCATGGTTAGAACAGCTCAGCTGCTGTGTTATCAAACACCATACTCCAATCTTAGCCAGAATTCCAAGACGGGAATTAACCATTTATTTCATTTTGCTGTCTCCTCAGTTGATCTGTCAAAAACTGAGATCGCCCCTTTGCAGGCCAATGTGACTTTTCATGAGATATTCTCCATCCTTTTCTCACTGCATAGGGTTAAGGACAAATAATTCTGTACAACACTGCCAGGGAATGTGATTGCAAGTAAGTACTGGGGGGGGGGGGGTGGGGGGTGGAGGGGGGGGGTGGGGGGGAGGGATGGTGGGAGGTGGAGAAGAGAGAATATTTTTGAAATGGAACAGAAACTGAAATAATAGACACACACACACACACACACACACACACACAAAACAGACCTACTTGCAATGAAACTACTAGCTGATTTTAAGAAAACCAATCCTATGCTGAGACAAGCTTTGAATGCCAAAGACAAAGTCCCTAAATGGGTCCAAAAATCCTCTCAACTGATGATCGGCTTCTTTTATGGAAATATTATTGTACTGCACATGGGAAAGTCAAATCTGGAAATGGAGGCAGCTACTCCAGGAGAGGTCTACTTTGATAATATGCAATAAGACATTGTAAAGCTCCAATAACAAATTACAATCCCCACTGAACATATGATCAAATTTTAAGTGTAAGCGCAACAAATTTCAGCCACCCTTCCCAGCCACAAAATTGGACAATGAAACAACAAGTTCTTTTTGAGAAAAAACAACTGTGGCAACTCTCTGCCCAGAACATTCTGGTATTAATATCTCTCATTGGTGGCACTGAAAATATGGCATTGGCAAGACCTTCCACTTACTGTATAAAGCAAGTCATTGTCAACTGCCATTTTCTGATGATTCAAAGTACAAATCAATAACATTTTGGTAACTGATAAATCACAAATTAAATGCAACACAACTGTCGTTATTTATTAAAGTTTCATCACGTTGCTGAGGTTAAGTTTGGCAATTATCGCCTTACCGTGACCCAGAACCATATGACTTTGATTCTATTCCATGAAGACAATCCTGTAGAGAACTTATGAGAACTTTGCAACGGTCATCTGCAGATACTTTAGACTGCTTTATCAAAGAAATAGCTGTAACCAGGGTTTCAATAGCACTCCCATAATCACCTGAAATGTAAATCAAAAAACGGACCATTAATCTATTACAACTGTTCAGCTGACCAGAGTCAACTAAAAGTTAAATTCACATCTGAATTTTTTTCTTCTTTACATCTTAATGCATCAACCCAAGCCCTACAACTTGAACCTTGATCTTACATTTTGACATTCACTTTAGCCTAAAAGTTGACCAATTTCAGGTCAGATCATGGTCCAATTGATAAGACTATGAGACCATAAAAGAAAAAGAAAAAGAACAGGAAGGAACAGCTCTTCTACCTTGCTCCATTACTCATCAGGCTCACAGCTGATCTGACATTCATCACGTCTACTTTCCTGCCCTTTCTCCATAAGCCTTAATTCCCTTACTGATCAAGAATCCATCTTAGCCTTAAACATACACAGGGACTCTGCCCCCTCAGCTCTCTGCAGGAAGGAGAACCAAAGACATTCAACCCTCTGAATGCTTTAGTGCAGTACTAATTCATACGGACCAAAAGTGCCCTAATTTGATCTCCAAACTCTTTCTTTACATTTTTCCACTACCGTGTTCAAGTCATGTTATTACACAACTCTGGAACAAGTGGGATTTGAACCTGGGCCTCCTGGCTCAAAAGGTAGGGACATTACCACTATAAATCATGCTACTGTTAGATTTGTTGCATTAATTAATTTCAGTTAGCCAATCAACTGGGACCTACAGGCAAAAGTTGTACTTTTGGTTGGAGATTACAGGGGAACTGGCGAGAATGCAGTTGCCATGTTTTGGTTCTACTGCTTAATGCCCAAAAGATACCTACTAACATACACATCATGATCGTGTGTCAAATGGTACATTTTCATACATAATACACATGACTTTCTGAACAGTCAGATCAACTGCAATGTGTCTCAATTAAACAAGCAAAACACTAGGTGGTTTACAGTATCAGTACAGTCACATCTTGCATAAATTACTTTCAGAATGGCAGCACATTGAGGGTGGATAGACAAGTAAAGAATCAAATTGCTCCAATTTACCAGCACTAGCATCCGACACAGCCCTTGATATTGCACTACTAGAAATGGCTCTATTTCGATTCATAATTTCCTCAAATTCTGCTTCACTCAGTGGAGTCCTCGAAGAATCCATGTCTCTGTTATATAAAGTAAAGCAGACAAAAGCAGGCTTAGCATAAATTTACTTTCCATAATCATAGCAACAAAACTGATTTTTTTCCCACTTTCTAAAAAGAAAGATTAGTCGGATAAATAATTTCCGGCAAATTTCTTTGTCAATCCTGATGTTGGAATTTCCTCCCCACTTACGAATGATAAATGGTGACTTCAAAATTCAGATGAAGGTTAAAGTTCTAAGCACACTCTGTCTGGGCCTAATTTCTGAAGATAAAATCCACTTGCACCCAACTGCATTTTATCCATTAGTTATCATTGCTGCATTTTGGAGTATTATTACAGTTTACTGTGATTTCATTGCTTTCCTTAAATCAAAGCTAAACCCGGCTTCTCAGCAGAATGCAATGAAACTTTTCAAAGTATCACGTCATTTTATTTGCCTCAGAACTGACGAGACTCCTACGACCACGAGGAATCATGGTAGCACACAACCCACAGCCATGCCACGACAAACACTCAAGGGCCAAAGATCCCATACCCATGACATGCAGGGCCAACATAGTTCATAAAATACCTTGTAATACCAAACATTGTATCAGCCAGACTGGAAGGAAACTAGCCATCAAGATCTACGAACACCAGCTAGCAGCAAAACAACATGAATTTCCCCTCATATCAGTGCACTCAGACAATGAATGCCATCAATTTAACTGGGACAACGTGACCATCCTAGCTCAAGCAAACCACAGACACGCATGTGAATTCCTAGAGGCCCGGTTTTCAACCCCATAATGCAATTAGCAAACATGTGGAATTACATCCCATATACAAACCCATGCAGAAAAGAATCCAAAATAACACAACCCAATGTAACAGACCGGATCCTCTAAATACCATGCGAAGCAGAACAACATCGCTTCATCAGAGGCCGCACAGATGATATTACCTAGCACGGTGATGAAAGGTCTGTAAGATAACTAGCCAGCTCAGCGAGCAAGCCGACAACCTCTTCAACAATCTGAGCGACAAACCTTCACAAGAACCTTAAACCAATCACTTTTTTTGCAACAGTTGAGGCAGGCTGTGAACTATCAAATTGATGCAGATATTTTCCAAGTAAATTAGTTGCCTTTTTTTGTTTTTACAAACCAGCGGAAGCACCCAGTGAATGGTGGCTAGCTGAAGATGGGTCATCTCAACATCGGAACCAGGAAGCAAAGTCCACTGAACAACACTCCAGGTTTTCTGGTTCTGCTAATAAAATGTACTTTTCCCTAACTGTCTGGGAGCGTGCATGTCTATGTACTTAAGAGGCAGTTTATAACCTGGCCCATGCTTTCTAACAACATTGATCTAAAAGTCAGATAAATTGGGATCGTGCATGTACTTAAATAAACTAACATTTTGAACTACTTCAGGAATAGCAGGACTCAAGTTACAGTAGGCTTCTCCAGTAGATCAAAACACTCAGTCAAGTCACATGCTACTTCCTGTAACACTACACAGATTATAAAAGTCTCCCAAGTTTGTTCATTTGTTCCATCAACCAGACACTTTGAAAAAAGAAAACAATCTAACCTCCACTTAAGACAGCAAAAATTCACCACCTTTTTAATAAAATTGTCTAACTAATTGTAGAAATATGCCTTTGCCCATTCATGCATCCACAAATACACTCCTCTCCAACATGCAAGATAAAATTCTCAGCAGGCAGAAGCCAATTAATTTGAACAAGATTCTGTTTGGCTGAAGCAAATCATATTGATAGAAGACCAATAAATGCAATATAAATGTCTGATGCATTCTAACAGAGCAAAGAATTAAAGACAATTTAATAACGTGCTAGCTGAGACAGTTTAAATTACAAGGTCATTTCAACAGTCACGCAACACTACTGAATTTTAACCCAACTCTTAGGAGGGAAGGTCAGTATTCCACATAAAATTAAATCACCACAGCCACTTTATCTATTATATTTAGTGATAATCTGCAAAACATTTTTACTTTTCAAAACCTGCAAACCTAAATTAAAACATACATAAAATTTACCTGCCAGCAGGTCCATAGTCTCCTCTATCATATGGCGGAGGGCGACCATACGGATCTGACGGAGGCGGTCCACGGCTGTCAGATGAGGGAATTACATTACTGGTTGGTGGTGGGAAGAAAGCAGGATTTACATGAGGGGCTGGAGGTGGTGCACCAGGAGGGGGTCCAGGGAGATGGGGAGGTGGAGCAAGACTAATCGGTGGGCCAAGTGGGCCTGGAGGACGTGGTGGGAAGGGACCAGGTGGTGGGGGTGGTCCTTGTTGAGGAGGGGGGGGCCCAGGAGGAGGACCATAGCCTGGAACAGGAGGGGGAGGACCAGGAGGGAGTGGTCCCATGGGAGGTTGTCCAAACGGTTGCCCTGGAAACAGAACTGGGGGTGGAGGACGATCACCACGATTTGGTGGCCCACCTAATGGAGGAGGAAGGCCTTGTCCAGGTGGAGGCGGACCCGGGGGGCCTGGTGGACCAGGAGGACCTGGAGGTGGTCGTGGTGGACCTTGCCCTGACAAAAATAAAAAGATGCTGTCACATTCAAAAGAAATGCAATTTACAAGAATCACTGATAGTAAAGATTATACGATTACATTTAGATCAATATTTAGCACCGAGAAATAACTTTGCATTATAATTTCTTAGAATTTAATAAATGCTCAACACATCAAAATGAAAAACAGCACTTGAACGTCAATCACAGCACTTTAAAAAAATTTGCTTTGTCAGCAATTTAACCTATTGACTAATTGAGCAACTATCCAAGTGATACATGTAAAACATATTATTTAATAGGTCATTATCCCAAATATAAAGAGTTTAAGAGTAGCTAGAACATGGAACTTGTTGGTATTTGGAAAGATTCAAGACAAATTCCTTTAACAATTAAGATGAGTCTTGATGCACGCACTCAGTCCTTGTTTTCCATGAGGGATAAGGCCGTGGACTTCCAAAACAAATAAAAAAAAAATCCAGAAATCACTCCTGTGTAATGCAACAAACCGCACGATCAGTTACTGGGGCAATGGAAATTTGAGGTTTTTGGCCAACTTTGCAAGTACTTGGATCCAAGAACAGCAAACAGATAAGGGGCACTCACTGTACTGGAGTGAAAAGCAGAGTCTGGAAGCAATGTAGGGAAAGGCATTTACAGTATGACAATGCACGCATCAAGCATGAACTCCTTACCTTGATCAGCTGCACTGATGTATCATGGAAACTACATAATACTCAAAGAGGAATTCTTAGAAAGATTTAGACATTAATATCACCTGTGGGACTGTGTTGCCACCTTAACCAATGTCGTTCATTAAATACTTAGTTTCACTCACCAGGAAAAGGTGGAGGCCCTCCTGGTCCAGAAGGCCCTGGGAATCTGTCCCCACCAGGGCCAGATGGTGGGAAACGACCACGTCCTCTTCCACTCTGAGAAAATGCTAATCGACTGTTAGCTCCAGGCGGCCCAGCTTTCCCTTCACCTGACATTTGGCCAGACTGAGTAGCTGCAAGAATGATAAGACACCAATTATTTTGTTAAAAATTACAACTTAATAGCAAACATCCAAGCATATATCAAAACATTTGGTGAATAGCTTTTGAGATCAAATTTACAGAACCTGCAATTGACAGTTATCACTATAATTGTGCTTCTGTAAGGGTGTAGTGCCAGAGAGCATACCAGATGACATCCAAACCCTCATATCACGAAACAGATACAAGTATAAATTAAGTGCCCTTGGGTTTCAAATTCACGTGTTTTCAGGTATGCACCCTACAGTGCATTGTGGAATGACAGCACGTTATCCGATATTTAAGATAAAACTAGAGTTTAAGTAACAGTTTACGTTGAAGAGCGTCAGATCGTTATTGCCGGTACGACAGAAAACATGGCAGTGTGCATAACATTGCCAGAAACAGTAAAAAATGTTCATGGTTTCTTTTGGTTAAAAAAAAACTTGGCGAACAGAAGATAAACTTCTTGCTCTAAACAATGGTGCAGGCTTTTTATTGTCACCTGAACAGGTGGAACAAGTTTCCATTAAAGCATAACCAAAATACTGCAACACTAATAAGGCAGCAATCTCTCAGTAAATTACACAGACATAATAGATTAAACTAAGTGCTCAAATCTTAGCATGGGGATAGAATTCAGATCATACAAGTGTTATTGCCAATTCGGTCAAATTAAAAAAGTTGCATTTAGTATTAAAGACAATTAGAATTCAATCATACAAAGAAATTAAAACAATTTATACTACTTCTGACAGAGCTCCTATATGCTAAATAATATTACATAGTACATTTATTTATATACTCTTACATTTTCTAGACTGCATTTCAAACTGACTGAGGGACTGCTTATTGCATGGTGTGACGATAGGATTCTGTCCATGCATATCTCGTTTAGGAAGCATATCCATCAATTTTTTGGATGAACTTTCAGATCCCACACAAATGAGGGCAAACCTGGTTTAAAAATAAAACAAAATAACCATGCTTAATTGCACTTTGCCTTTTAATAACGCTAAATGCTTTATGTCACATAAGTGGCAAATGTTGCTCCATACACTATTGTATCTAATTTTGTATAAACTTATTACACATTTCAACATTTGCCACATATAGGATTTGACATTACAAGTTTCTGATTAACTCTCCCTGCACGATGCAGGTTTTACTTAAGATATGATCATTACAATTAACTGCAGATCCATTTTTAAGTTCAAATAAACTACAATTAGAACACACAGAAGTTCTGGCATAAAGCAGCTGCTAATACAAGGGCCAATGAACGGCAAACGGAGTTTAATTCTGATCAATGTGAGGTGTTGCACTTTGGTAAGGCAAACCAGGGCAGAATTTATACAATTTCTGGTCGGGCCCTGGGGAGTATTACTGAACAAAGACCACCAAGGGGTGCAGGTGCATAGTTCCTTCAAAGTGGAGTCACAGATAGACAGGATAGCAAAGGCGGCATTTCGACACTCTTGCTTTCATTGGTCAGTGCATTGAGTATAGGAGCTAGGAGGTCATGTTGCGGCTGTACAGGTCACTGCTGAGGCTACTTTTCGAATACTGCATTCAATTTTGGTTTCCCTGCTTTAGGAAAGATGCTATTAAATCTGAAAGAGTTCAGAAAAGATTTACTAGGAAGTTGCTGGGATTGGAGGGTTTGTGCTATAGGAAAGGCTGCATAGGCAGGGTGCCCCCCGAGTGGAAGTTGAGAGGTGACCTTATGGAGGTTTAAGGTCATGACAGGCATGGATAGAGGAAATAGACATGGTCTTTTCCCCAGGATGGTGAAGTATAAAACTAGAGGGCATAGGTTTAAGGTGAGAGGGGAAAGATTTAAAAGGGACCTGACAGGCAATTATTTCACGCACAGACTGGTGCATGGAAAGAACAAGCTGCCAGGAGAGGTCAGAGAAAGGTATAATTATAACATTTAAAAGGCATCTGGATGGGTACACCAATAGGAAGGGTTTAAGAGGGATATGGGCCAAATGCTGGAAAATGGGATTGGATCAGTTTAGGATATCTGGCCAGCACAGTCGAGTTAGACCAAAGGATATGTTTCCATGCTATATAAGTGCTATGGCAAGATTTTTAAAAAAATATTAATCATCATGTGCTCTCACCCTTTTGACTGTCCATTAGCCCGGTTCTCAAAAAATTTGATTTCTAAAAGATCAGTAATGCCCATTGAATGGAGAGCTTCAGTCAGATCCTCATCTGTGGTCCACTGCAAGACAGTATGGGAAAAAATGCATAATGCATTAAAACACATCTCAACTGTACTCAGTCAATTTTCATTTAACGACTGCTCAATTTACACAAGATGCCTGACCATCAAATATGGAGGAGCAAAGGATACAACGACATCAAGCGTGAACACCTCATGAGGATTCTCAGAATACTCCAAAAATCCTTCAATAATTTCAGACTGAAATGCAGTTTTGTAAACCGATCCAAGAAATTCTGTTTTCAAATTGCTGAGAATCCTAGCCAGCAAGAGACTCACATTAATGTTTGAAATTCGCTGGGAGCACAGACCTGACATATTTGTTTTATCATTGGGAACAACTTAGTATATATTTCATGATGGATAGATAACTCGTCAATGCAGAACCCATAGGATCGAGTACATCTCTCCCCACTAGTTTAAATGGTAGCAACAACTTTCAGAAGCAGTTGGGACTGACTCTGTTAAATTGGTCACTGCTGATTACATGCATGCAAGTGCAATGCAGCACAGAAAGTAGGAATTCACCCAAAATATTCTGCCCAACTGTTCTCCAGCTAAAACAGGAACCTTTGTAATTTGAACTAATTATATTTGTTGGGAAGATAGTAGCATGTTGATGATAATGCTCAACTAGTAATCCGGAGGCTCAAACAAACAAGAGACAGACATTCAAAACCCACCATCGCACCTGGTGGAATTTAAGTGCAATTTTATTTATTAACATCTGCAAACAAAAGCTTTTATCAGGAATAGTGACCCTGAAAATAGCACTAATTATTGCAAAATAAAAATCTTCTGGTCCACCATTGTTCTTTAGGGAAGGAAATCTACCATCCCCGCTATTCAAATCAAATTCTTGGCAATGATCAAGGCAAAAACTTACCCAAGTCAGATTCCCAATATACAAAGCTATTCTCTTGCCAGTATATGTATATACAATATTTGGGCCCAATGAGTTAGGAGTTTTGCCACCATCATCTGAAACAGACTGCGGCATGCTATCCATATAATCACGATCTTCTGGTGCATCCCCATTATTGGCAGATGGTGATATGACATCATCATACAAATCGATCTGATCATGACCACTGTATTCTGTCTCCTAAATAAAACAAGAACAAAATTCAGATTTTTTAAAATTAAAATTCTTATTTAACTAAATTTGCATGATTAAACAAACTGTTCTCTATGAACATAAACACATGTAAAATGAACATTAAGTGTAAGTCAACAATTGAAAAAGCCTAGACAACAAGGTGCAGAGCTAGATGACCCTCTAAGATTGTGACCTCCGTTCAAACCAATGACTTTTAAAACGTGCGAAATATTCTTAAGAATATATGAACGTAAAAAGTGACTGCTTCTGTAATTCTTAAGAAAAATTTACACATTTCAAACAAGCCATTTATCACACAAGATTAGAACAAATCAGTACTAAACATAATAGTTCTTTCACAAACACATACTTAACCAGAAAATCTCGGACACACCCTGTATTATTTTTATTTTCACTTGAGAGATCTATATCTTACAGTACCTGGAGGGTTCCTTCCCTTCTCCTGGGACCAAACAAGGTGTAACACTGCTCCCTGAAATTCTCTTCAATTTTTTTTATGAGTTTTTTGGGAACCTTCCAACTTCCTTTCAATGCTTCATAATTGTAGACTCTCCAGATTAAACATAGGCTTCACTGATTTCTTGCTTAGCATAACTAAGCCAGTGAACACCCTTGATTTATCATCAGCCTGTGCCACCAGCCTGCATTTTCTCTACTTGTCTCAAACCTGCTTATTTCTCTGTGAAGATACATGACTAAATACCAAACACTAAAACCTATTCCCATAACAAAAGTGGTCTAGGATATACCACATAAAATTTTGTCATAATACTGATTTGTATCTTTTAGATGGTGGTCAGGTTTTCAGGAGCTCGAGGTTATAACTTGCTGCAGGTTTCCTACCCTGTGAACTGCTCTTGTAGCCATAGTACTTATATGGCCAGTCCAGTTCAGTTTCACTCAATGGTACCACCACCCCTCCAAAACCACAATGTCAAGGCAGTTGCTCACGCCGACTTCGTGTCCCATCATTGACCAATACATCATCTGTTCTAATACCCCGAAATGAAGGCTGTCTTATCTCATTCAACTTGTGTAACACCTTTTGGGTATCTAAACACTCTACACTCACTGCTTGCAATCTACCCCCAACTAGGTGCGTCTTCAAAGCTACCAAAAAATGTCAAACACTATTTCTCTTTTCAAAATACCACATTAACTCTCGTTATACTATGGGTTAAATACAGAAACATTGACAATAGATGGTGTAATTGGTCCTTCAAGCCTGCTCCACTATTCAGAATCAAAGAATCCCTGTAGTGTGGAAACAGACCCTTTGGCCCAACAAGCCCACCCAGACCCACCTAATCTACACCTCCCCGAGCACTACGGGCAATTTAGCATGGACAATCCACCTAACCTGCACATCTTTGGACTGTGGGAGGAAACCCACACAGACGGGGAGAATGTGCAAACTCCACACAATTGCCCGAGGCTGGAATCGAACCTGGGTCCCTGGTGCGGTGAGGCAGCAGTGCTAACCACTGTGCCACCGCACCACCCCGATATCATCACTGATCAACCAACTCAGTACTCTATTCTCACTTCTCCCAATGCTCTTTGAGCTCTTTAGCCCAAAGAAATATAATTCCTTCCTGAAGACAAATGTTTTGGCCTCAACAGCTTTCTGTGACAGAGAATTCCACAGACACACTGCTCTGGGTGAACAAATCTCTTCTTAACTCAGTCCAAACGGCCTATCCCACATCATTACAAACAGTGACCTCCGACATTGGGAACATCCTTCCTGCACTTATCCTGTCCAGTCCTGATGGACTCATGCAAGTTTCCGAGACTCCCTTGCATTCTTCTAAACTCTAGTGAAAATAGTCCTAACCAATCCAGACTTGCTCCACATCAGTCCTATCGTCTTAGAAATCAGCCAGGTAAATCTTTGTTGCACCCACTTCATGGTCAGATCATCCATCCTTATAAGGAGACCAAAACTACACACAGCACACCAAGTCTCACTAAAGCCCCATACAACTGAAGCAAAACATTTCTCCTCTTGTCCTGTACTTGAATCCTCTCACTACGAAGGCCACCATACCATCTGTCTTCTTCACTACTTGCTGCAGCTGCATTCTTAATTTTACTGATTGGTACAAGGACACCAATGTCTTGTTGCATCTCTCCCGTTCACAATGCATTGCCATTCAGGTATTAATCTATCTTCTTATTTCTGCTACCAATGTGGACAACCACACATTTGTCCACTATGTTGATAACAGATTATAGAATTTTCCCAACATTATGCAGAATAGGTAAATGCCTGGTGTGAAGTCCATAATGGCTTTGCTCTTCTAAAGAAAGGTCTCCGAAAACATTTGGGTGCAGCAAGGTGAAAGAACTTCAGCCAGTATGGTGCGCAAGCCAAAATGTTTTCAATGTCAAAACTGAGAAACCAAACTAAACTCTGGGCATGAATTTACGTGCATAAATCTTGGGTACTTATGAATCAGCCTTTGGTACAGTCTCAAAAGTGCCAAAAGATTTCACAGGATGCACCTTAGCTGCACAAACAACTGAGGAAATTAATACAGTGAGTTCAAGCATAAAACTGGCACACGTTGGTAACGCATGAATTTCAACAGAAACAAAATGAACTAATTTGGATAACACATTCCCAAAAAAAAAGGCTCAAATCCACAGTCCATCAATTGATAAACATGGCTCAAATCACTGACTTAGGATTTATTCACCAATGAAGCACTGGTGTGGAAGGAAAACAGAATCATCTACCTGGATTGATTTGTTATGCACATGTGCGATTTCTAAAATTTGATGGACTTGGAGACAACTCATGAGGCAGACGTTACAGGCTGAACGCCCAATGTAAAAGGATAACTTACTAACACTGTACTTTCATTACACAGTTTTATATAATGAATTACCACTGCAATTCAAAAAGGATGTCAAGAAAAATGGAAACCAAAAGAACTGTGGATGCTGTGAATGAGGAACAAAAACAAAGTTGCTGGAAAAGCTCAGCAGGTCTGGCAGCATCTGTTCAGGTGTGCATTTTGGGAAAATTTCATTTAAAAAGAGCCATCCCGTGAGAAACAATCTTCTTCACGTACCAGAAATTATACTCCCAAATTACTTCAAGCTCTCATTAAAAGGAGACCAGGAATCCTGCCATATTTCATATCATGTAATATTAAAGTTAACCTGGATTGCGACCTAGCCTAATTTCTTCTACCAAAGTGGTCAGACCAACGACTCAGCATTAT